GTAGGTAGGTTTATGGATGACACAAAAATAGGTGAGAAAGCAAGTGGTGAGGATGATTAATGATTTGGACTTGAATGTGGGGACAGGGTGGGGGGTGGGTGATGGTCGATGGCCAGTACAATTGGGAAATTTGCAGACAACACAAAAATTGGCCATGTAGTGGATAGTGTAGAGGATAGATATAAGCTCCAAAATGGCAGAGATAGGTTGGTGGAGTGGACAGGAAAGTGGCAGATGGAGTCCAATAAGTGTGAGGTAATGTTTTTAGGGAGGTCAAACAGTAAAAGGGAATACCCAATAAATGGGAACATTCTGAGCAGGTTGGATGAAGTGAAAGATCTTGGCATGCAAGTGCACAGGTGCCTAAAGTTACATTACAGGAAAGATGAAATTGCTGTGGAGAGAGTGCAGAGAAGATTGACTAGAATGTTACCAGGATTGGAGATTTGTAGCTATGAAGAGAGATTGGAGAGGCTGGGGTTGTTTTCCTCAGAACTGAGAAGTCTGAGGGGTGACATAGAATTAGAATCAGATTTTATTGTCACGTACTCAAATATAGGAATACAGGAGTATGGCGAAAAATGTACAAAGTTGCCATCCTGTGGTGCCATCTATTTGTGGTTTAAAAAAAAGTAGAGATAAGAGTAGACAGGGGAATCTGTTTCCCTTGGCAGATAGCTTGAATCTATGACCCCTGGTTTTTAAACTAAGTGGCAGACAGATTAGAAGGGGATATGAGGAAAACTTGTTTTACGTAGGAAGTGGTGGATGTCTGGAATTTGCTGCCTGAGTTGGTGGAGGCAGAGACTCTAAACTCTTTTATTTAAAAGTACTTGTACCTGCACCTTAAGTGCTGTCGACTATAGGGCTATGGACTGTGTCTGGAAGATGGGATTAGAAAGGGCATCTGAGTGTCTTTGGGTCAACGTCGACAAGATGGGCTGAATGGACCCCTTCTGTGCTGTATTATTTCTTTGGTTCTATGATGCACAGAATCTACAGAGGGCTATTGACAGATTGAGTGAGTTGGTAAGAATTTAGCAGATTGAATATAATGTGGGAAAATGTGATGCTATGCATTTTGGCAGAAAGTATAGAAGATTTGAATATTATTTAAATGAAGAACGACAGTAGAAAGTTATCGTACAGAGGAATATAGGAGTTCTTCTGCATAAATCTCAAATAGCTAGTATACTAAGTTCATCAGGTACTAATTAGGGAAGGAAAATGGAATGTTGGCCTTTATTTCAAAGGGAATGGAGCATAAAATAGGAGAAACAAAAATAGAGATTACTGGAAAAGCTCAGGTCTGGCTGCATCTGTGAAGAGAAATCACAGTTAACATTTCGGGTCCAGTGACCCTCCTCAGAACTGATGATAGCTAGGAAAACTGTTGACAGGGCCCTCAACTGGTCCGACCCATCTCCCGCACTTCCGTCCTCACCCTGCTTCTTCCCTCCCACAACAGCGATAAGGTTCCCCTTGTTCTTACCTACCATCCCACCAGGATCCATAACCAGCAGATCATCAGCCGCATTTCCGCCAACTCCGGTGAGATGCCACCACCAGACATAGATTCCCCACCCCTCCCTTGTCCACATTCCACAGAGACCGTTCCCTTCAGGACACCCTGGTCCACTCTTCTTTCACTCTCAATACACCCTCACAGCCCCATGGCACTTTCCCCTGCAACTGCTGAAAGTGTAACACCTGCCTATTTACCTCCTCCTTCCCCAGCATCCAAGGGCCCAAACACAGCTTCCAGGTGAAGCAGCACATCACAAAATCTAGTCTACTGTATTTGCAGCTCACAATGTGGTCTCTTCTATATTGGGGAAACGAAGCGTAGACCAGATGGCTGCTTTACAGAACTTTTACGTTCTGCACGCAAAAAAGACCCTGAGCATCCAGTTGCCTGCCACTTTAACACACCACTCTGTTCCGTGACCAACATCTCTATCTCCGGCTTGCTGCAGTGTTCCAGCGAAGCTCAGCACAAGCCGGAGGAACAACACCTCATTTCTCGCTTGGGAACCCTGCAGCCTTCCGGACTCAATATCATATAGTCTGCCATTACACACTACCTATTGTTAGCCACTAACAGTCTCCATTAACAGCTATTCAACCTCCCACCTAGATCGTTATCGACTCCTTTGTCCAACTGTTCTTCTTTCTCTTTGGGCTGTACCCCACCTATCACTTAATCAGTTACCCCTCCCCCACCCTATCTTCGGCACATAAACCAACATTTTCCTAGCTACAGAGATAGTAGGAAGAAGGGTCTAGGCCTGAAACGTCAGCTTCCCTGCTCCTCTGATGCTGCTTGGCCTGCTGTGTTCATCCAGCTCTACACCTTGTTATCTCATTTTCCTAACTGCCGTCAGTTTTGAGGAAGGGTCACCAGACCCGAAATGTTAACTCTGATTTCTCTTTACAGTTGCTGCCAGACCTGCTGAGCTTTTCCAAAAATCTCTATTTTTATTTCTGATGTATAGCATCCGCAATTCTTTTAGTTTTTATAAAATAGGAGATCTTGCAAAAAGTATGCAAGCCACTAGTTAGTCAGCAGCTGGAATACAGTGAGCCATTTTGGTCCCCTTATCTAAGTAAAGATATATTGGAGGCAGTCCAGAGAAAATTCAGTAGGCTAACCCTGGGTATGGAGGGAATGTCTATGAGAAGAGGATGGATATGTTGGGCACGTACTCTTTGGAACACAGAAGAATGAGAGGCAGCCTTATTAACACATATTCAAGGTTCTTTGAGGATTTAACAGCTTAGATGCAGAAAGAGCAAGAACTGCAGATGCTGGAGTCAGAGATAACAAAGTGTGGAGCTGGAGGAACATAGCAGGCCAGGCAGCTTGAGAGGAATGGGAAAGCTGACTTTTTGGGTCGGGACCCTTCAGAAATGGAGGGGAAGGGGAGCTCAAGTAAATAGAGGAGGGGTGGGGCTGGGGAAGGTAGGTGGGATAGTGATAGGTGAGTGCGGATAGGCAGTGGTCGGGATTGGTCAATGAGATGGGTGGAGCGGATAGGTGGGAGAGAAGATAGACAGGTTGTGTCAGGTCAAGGAGGCAGGGATGAGAGGGAGGCTTGGTCCTGGGATGAGGCCAGGGGTGGGGAGATTTTGAAACTGGTAAAATCCACATTCAGGCCGTCGGGCTGTGGGCTCCTGAGGCGAAATATGACGTGCTGCTCTTCCAGTTTGTGGGTGGCAACATTGTGACACTGGAGGAGGCCCAGCATGGACATGTCACCCAGGGAGTGGGAGGGGGAGTTAAAATTTTTCGTGACACATCACCCCACCAACCTCCACATCCAACGTATCATTTTACAACACTTCTGCCACCTACAATCTGACCCCAGAATCAAAGATATATTGCCCCCCCCCACCCCTATTAGCCTTTCGTAGGGAACAACACCTTCCATTCGCGAAACATTTTAACCCCCCCTCCCACTCCCACTTCCATCCTGGGCCGCCTCCAGTGTCACAATGACGCCACCTGCAAGCTGGAGGAGCAGCACCTCATACTCTGCCTTCGGAGCCTACAGTCTGATGGCCTGAACGTGGATTTTACCAGTTTCAAAATCTCCCCACCCCCGGCCTCATCCCAAAACCAACCCTCCCTCTCATTCCTGCCTCCTTGACCTGACACAACCTGTCCATTTTCTCTCCCACCTATCTGCCACTCCCACCTCACTGATCAATCCTGACCATTGCCTATATGCACTCACCTATCATCATCCCACCTACTTTCCCCAGCCCCACCCCTCCTCTCTATTTATTTCTGAGCTCCTCTACCCCCTCCCCATTTCTGAAGAAGGGTCCCGACCCGAAACATCAGCTTTCCTGTTCCTCTAATGCTGCATGGCCTGCTGTATTCCCGCAGCTCCATACTTGATTATCTTAGATGCAGAAACGTTGTTTCCCCTTGTGGGAGAGTCTAGGACCAGAGGGCATCAGGATAAGGGATCACACATTTATGACAGAGATAAGGAGAAATTTCTTCTCTGAGAGTTGTCAATCTGTGGAATTCTTTATGTAGAATGCTGTAGAGGCTAAATATATTCAAAGCTGAGATAGACAGATGTTTAATCAGTAAGGGAACCAAGGATTATGGGGAAAAAGGAAAGTGGAAATTAGGATTATCAGGTCAGCCATGATCTCATGGAATGGTGGAGCAGACTTAATTGGCTGAATAGCCTGCTTCTGCTTATATGTCCTGTTGTCTTAAATTAAATCACTTAAGGCTTTTATTTTAAACAGGCTTCCTAGAAATCATGTAACTAGTGATAATTGCTTGCTTTGCTATAGACAACCTTAGGGCTTTTTTGAACAGCGACTGCCTTGGAGAACTTCTTGTTTTATCTGGTTCAGGTGAAGGAAAGCCTGCTAAGAACAAGCTGAGTTGGAAGAAACCATACTATTATGACTAAGCTGCCCAGCTGATTTCTGCCATTTCTGAAAAGAAAGCCCACAATATTAGTTCAGGGTGAGATCTATACGTTCTCTTGAATGAGTGATTGAAAGCACACCTCAATTGTATTTCCTATTCAAACTGTTTCTGCAAACCAAGAGATAATGGTGCATGATTAGTCACTTGACCATATGTGCTAGAACATCACGGCAACAGACTCTTATCCTTCTGCTTTAAAGAATAATCCATTGGCCATTGTATTTTTCTTCAGGGAGCCAATCTCTGCAGAGAAGGTTTTTTCTTTTTGAAGAGTGCATGTGTTTATTGAAGATATTTAAAGAGAATATATAAATTCATCGTTGTGTTTATTAAGAAAACTGATATCATATTCTAAACAAAAATAATCTATGCATAAGGTATTTAATTGGTCATCTTGTTAACTGGAAAAAATATTTTTATTTTACCCATGCTGCTTTCCCTGGAATGAGAATACAGCAACATTGCATTCCTTCAGCCTTGATCATAACAGCAGGACCTTGGAGTGTTGAGCATGAGTAAAGAATTGTTTATTAAATTGCAGTTCCACTTTAAGAAGGAAGAGGTGTGTAAGCACGTCTGTACAAAAAAATATAATCCGGAAAGCAAGGATGACAAAACAAAGTTGACATTTCTGAAGAATGGCATGCAATTAAACTATCAACATCATTGGTGAGTAGCTAACAAGAAGCAGTCTGCTGTGACTTTTGTTTTAAATTTATGCCTCATTTATTTTGGTTACTGACAGTTCTTGCTAAAATTCATAGTGTTAACAGTTCATATTCAGTCATATTGAGTCATATCGATCACTAAAATTATTTGTAGCTTTCATACAATTGACCAGGTTTTTAAAATAAAAAAAGTACACATAATTGCTGTAATATGCTAAATGCATATCACTGCCTTATTTCTTTCTGATGCATATGCAAAGGTGATTGTCAGTACAAATTTCCTTTCAAGCAGTGAAATGGTAAAAATATAATCTCCATGTTCAAATGGAAGTGTCTGAAGCAGTTAATACAGGGCTATATATTCTTCAAAAAAAGCCAGTGGAGAAAACATATAAATTCTTAAACATGTCCTTTGCGATGACATGTTATTCATATGGACATGGGAACAGGAGTAGTTGTAGAGTAATACAGTATAGAACCAGATCCTTGGGTCCAACTTGTCCATGCCAACCAAGTTGCCTAAACTAAATTAGTCCCACTTGCCTGCGTTAGGCCCATATCCCTTTAAATCTTTCCTATTCATGTACCTATCCAAATGTCTTTTAAATGTTGTTACTGTATCTGCATGTACAATTTCCTCTGGTAGTTCATTCCACATACAAACCAGTCAGTGTGTGTGAAAAAGTTGCCCCTCAGGTCCCTTTTAAATCTTTCTCCTCTCACCTTAAAAATATGCCCTCTAGTTTTGAACTCCCCTCGCCTGGGGAAAAGACCTTTCCTGTTCACCTTATGTATGCGCCCCCTATGATTTTATAAACCTCTATAAGGTCACCCCTCAACCTCCTATACGCCAGTGAAAAAAGTCCCAGCCCAGAAGATTCAAAACAGTCTTTTATGGCCAAATGATTGGGAAATCATCCACAAATTATTTGTTGTTGATAATATGATTAAAGTTATTCGATTGATGAGCACTGGAAAAAGTGGCACAGTCACATGACCGTTAATGTGGTCTATTGCATCTGCTGCTCTCGATGTGGCCTCCTCTACATTGGTGAGACCAAGTGGAGGCTAGGAGACTGCTTTGTAGAGCACTTGCGCTCTGTCACGACAAACGACAACACCTTCCAGTCGCGAACCATTTCAACTACCTCCTCCCATGCCCTGGGCGACATGTCCATCCTGGGCCTCCTCCAGTGTCACAATGACACCACCCGGAAACTGGAGGAGTAGCACCTCATATTCCGCCTTGAGACTTTACCAGTTTCAAAATCTCCACACCCCCGGCCTCATCCCACGACTAACTCTCCCTCTCATCCCCGCCTCCTTGACCTAACACAACCTGTCCATCTTCTCTCCCACCTATCCGCTCCACCCACCTCACTGACCAATCCCCACTATTGCCTACCTGCACTGCCTTATCACACCATCCCACCTACCTTCCCCAGTCCCACCCTGCTGTCTGTATTTATTTCGGAGCTCCCTTCCCCCTCCCCCATTTCTGAAAAAGGGTTCTGACATGAAACGTCAACTTTCCTGCTCTTCTGATGCTGCCTGACCTGCTGTACTCCTCCAGCTCCACACTATGTTATCTCATGTTCAGCTGTGCTGCTGTGGAGCGATTGTTGCTCAGATCCATAATTTGGCCTCCCTCAACCTGACGTGTAACCCCAGTCTGCCAAACCCAATCCATTACCTAAATGAAAGTTGAAACTGGCTAATATTTTGCAAGGAGAAGGCATAATATAGTCATGCTTACTTTGTAACGAGTTCTCCACATCCTGCATTTATTACATTGGGGAATTAGAAATAAAATCAAGTTGGTGAGATTCTTTGCTCATTTAACAAAGCAGCAATTGAATTCATGTTCGTTGTGTGCCACGTGTTTCTGCCACTATTAAGCAAGTTACTGAATCACATACTTGAAGTTGATTTTGTTTCTTGTACTCAATTAAAAGATTTTTAAAGTTATACCAAGTGTAGTTGAATAGTGCTGTACTATTGCAAAAGTAATCAAGAACTGGTCTGGGTGGGATGCTCTGAGGGTCAGTGTGAACTTGTTGGGCCGAAGGGCCTGTTTCCACACTCTAGGGATTTTATGATTCTATCCAGCCTCTCCTTATGACTCAAACTCTCCAGTCCCAGCAACATACTTGTAAATCTCTTCTGAGCCCTCTCCAATTTAATAATATCCTTCCAACTGTAGGGGAACCAAAACAGTACACAGTATGCCACAAGTGACTGCACCAACGAACTGTACAATCTTAACATGACATTGCAACTCTATATACAATGGTCTGAACAAACCAGAGGAGATAGTTTATTGATATACCTTGTCTTTTCCTGTTTGTATCTTGAAGACTTTGATTAGATCACCTTCTAAATTCTAGAGAAAACTGGCCTTATTTGTATTCTCTAGTAGTCCAGGTATTATTCTTGTAAACCTACTTTGTACTCCCTGCAAGCCCGATATATCTTTCCTGAGGTGTGGTGCCCAAATTCTGCTCATATACTCCAAATTGGATCTAACCAGCGTTTGTATAACTTGTACTCCAGTTCCCCAGATATAAAGTCCAATCTTCCTTTAGCTTTGATTATTTTCTACATCTGTTCGTGGTATTTTAAAGATCCATGCACCTGAACCCCAGGTCTCTTTTGGCCATCCCATCGGGGAGGCGATGGCCAAGTGGCGTTATCGCTGGACTATTAATGCAGAGATCCAGGTAATGCTCTGGGGACTTGAGTTCGAATCCCACCATGGCATATGGTGACATTTCAATTCAATAAGAATATCTGGAATTAAGAATCTAATGATGACCATGAATTCATTGTTGATTGTTGGAAAAACCCATCTTGTTCACTAATGACCTTTAGGGAAGGAAATTGCCATCTTTACCTGGTCTGGCCTATACGTGACTCCAGATCCACAGCAATGTGGTTGACTGTGAACTGCTGTCTGGGCAATTAGGGATGGGCAATAAGTGCTGCCTAGCCAGCGACGCCCTCATACCGATAATGAATAAAGGAAAGGATCCATTGTATTTAACTTCACACCATCTAAAAAGTACCCTTATCTATCCTTTTTCCGTCCAAAATGGATTAATTGGTGTGCTGTACCTTTCATGCTCACCTCTTACGGGAAATTGTAGGGGTAATATTGTACTATTACTCGAGCCTCACTTTATTTCAAGGACATTTTGGAAAACGTGGTCAACCAGTCGAGCGTCAGTGTATGTTATAAAGTCATAGAGTCATACAGCACAGAATCAGACCCTTTGCTCCAACCAGTCCATGCTGACCATAATCCCAAACTAAGCTAGTCTCACCTGCCTGCTGCAAGCCGATATCCCTTCAAACCTTACCTATTCATGATGCTGATAAATATTGTCATTAATATACTAGAAGTTTGAAATCCAACTCATTAATCTGACTTTTAGATATGGATAATTACCAGCTATTGACATCTGAATTGTATTTTCTTATTAATTTCCCTCATTGCATCACTCCATTTTATATTCCTGCTTAGTATATAATAGTGAACTCCAGAAAATATATGTGCTTCATTCTTATACTCTGTGGCCTTTCTGCAGTGGGAAGAATGCTACAGTGAATTTTGAACAGCTTGTTGAGGAAAAGCTGTGCGCATTTTTTTTGGGTTCTCTTGCTCTTTTACCATTTCTCGAATCGTGTCTGTACTTTACTGAGCAGCTTGCAAATAATCTTCAAGATCTGCTCAGCATCATCCTACCTCATTTAATTTAAAATATGAATAAAGTCTGAAATATAATATGACCAGTCATAAGTAAGCATTCAAGGTTGTATCTAATTCATTGTTTTCTTTTCTGCTGAAGAGGCTGTTTACAAGCTGGCAGTTTGGGCAGAAAAGGTGTGATTTTTCTTTTTATTGTTCAGCTGGTCACGACTTAAATTGTCAAACACAATGCCACCAAGTTTGCACTTCAGCCACCAGTGTTTTCATAAGATGCTTTTCGCTGTTCTGAGTTGATTCTCTGGAACATCACTAATCTTCACGTGAATGCAGAAGACTGACCAACTTAGTTAATGCACTGGAATAAATGAAGAGGTCCTGAAGAGAATATCTGGGAGATAAAATTGAAGATTCTATTCTTTATACTCACTTGATAATACAATGGTATGGTAGAACTGGAATATTGCTGAATAAAGCTCATGGTGTCAAAGCTTTTTGATTTGCACTCATCAGAACAATTCACAAGAATACCAGTGTAGGGGGAAAGCAACGTTTTTAACATTTTACTCTTTAGAATCTAGATCTAAGTTGAGTTAAATCTTGTTCCCACATCAATCTTACGGTAGCTCATCTTTGATTCCTGGCTCAGCCATTGATTTTAAAATTCTCACTCTTATTTTTAACTGGCACTTTGGCTTTGTCCACGCTTACCTTTATAACTTCCTCCAATTCTACCCTCTGAGATGCCTGCATTCCTCTAATTCTGGCAGCTTAAATATCCATGATTTTTATTGTTTCATGGTAGGTGACTGCCTTCAACTACCAAAACCCTGGAATTCTCTCCCTTAATCTCTACCTCTCATTACCTCTCTTTCCTTTCATGTTTCTTCTTAAAATCTACTTCTTTGAACAAAGTTTTTGTTACCTTATGTGACTGTGTCAAATGTTTTTTCATGTTGTTCCTGTAAAGTACGCTGGGACTATTGTAATGTTAAAGATATTCCATAAAGTACAGTTATTTATAATGATTGCTTTTCAGTGTGCATTCACCCTCATTGTTCTTATAGGATTATTGATAATATGCCAGTCACATGGTGCTACGATGTGGAAGATGGTCAGAAATTCTGTAATCCAGGATTTCCCATTGGTTGCTACATAACAAAAGACGGTCATCCAAAAGATGCATGTGTTATTAGTGTAAGTTTATGCATGTCTTCATCACATATTTAGATCCTAAAAATACTTCAGTGCTAACTATTAAAGGCACGTAAATGGCATGAGCATGGATTGAAACAAAATGTACTTTGATAATCCGCTAATGTCTTTATTGATGCTTCCTCATCACCCTTATCCAGAAAAACAAGCTGAGTGAAATATAAATATTTATTTCATAAATGACTAGCTTTCCAAATCTGGTGTGTCAACATCGATATTTTTTTTTCTTGCACTGAATGATGAGCATCAGAAATATCCCCTTTTTTTTGCCAAGTTTGTCCCAGTTTTTCATTCCTTAAGGACATTGGGTCTAACTGGAATGTTGTTTCAGCATCCATGCCCCATTATTGACCCATCCAGTACCTTGTTCAATTGCAATCTTTCATCTATGTTGTCAGACTGTTAGAACATGGATGGGAGCATTCAGATTCCAATCTTCTTCTTCTCTGCCATCTGGTTTCTGGTTAATTGTCAAGAGGGTTGGCTTATGTTCGTTTCACCAGGGGTACACTTTTTGGTAAATTTTGATACCCCGACATCAACTGTTTTGTTCTGTATGACTTGGTAGGCTACAAGGGATCCTCCCCACGCCAATCTGAGGTACAGGTTAAGGATTCTCAAAGCAATCACTTGTCATCAATTTGAATTGTTTCTAATACAGTGCTTTCTCTCTTGTCAACCTGTGCTCTTGATTTTGTGATTCAGACACAATGGGGAAAGACTGAATGGTTAAAGTGGATTTCATTGCAGGTTTCAGGTGCCTAGTTACAACATCCCTTTATAAATGTGCATTTGAACGTAAGCTTTTGTGTTGAGAGATGGAGCTTACACTTTATATTGAAAATAAATGCTCAATATTTTTCTCTGCATGCATACACATTTCTTGATCTGAGGTAGATAATTTTGTATAATTTCAATTCTTTAATAAATTGTCAAAATAAATTTTGATGGTTTTCTTTGTAATTCCTTGTTTAATGATGAATTATGAACTTCTGTATGTTATAAAGTTTGATAGGAATAATTTCATTCAAATTAATAGAACCAAACTACTGGAAGTTTATGAAATAATTTTAAAGCAAACCTTGGACTTACTAGAAACAAATAAACAGCTTTCACAGTAATTAAAAATTTAGTTTTGAACACAACTGTTTTTATGACCTACTTTTTGATTTCTATTATATAGTCTTCCTTCAATGAGAAAGACACGTACTATATTTTCAATCATGTGGATATCACAATATATTTCCATAGTGAAGATGGGACTGAAGCAAGACTTGTGGCTGCCAAGTTAGAACCAAAAAGGTATGTAAATAGTTAAATGGAATGAGTATAACATCTAAAGAAAGAACAAGTGACAACTGATTATGACACAATTCCTTATCAAGGAATCCCAACTATATTAAAAATCACATGCCCAAGTGCACTTCCTGTGAACTTTTAGCATTATAAATTCTTGTGTCAATAGTTGTTATGGAAAATGGCCATGTAAAACTCATCACTGCATAATTGGACTGTATTCAATACAGCTGTGAGCAAAAAGGCACATTCTGTGGTGATTTGAGTTCATAGCCACCATTTAAACTTGGGAACTTGATGTTGTTCAATGCATTTGAATAGCAAATTAAGATGCCAATTTCGCAAAACCATCACAAAGCAGCACATATTCCATTTTTTTTTAATATTCCCTCCCCTGAAGTCACTGTTTGTTTCATGTGTAAGAAAGGTTGGGCACATTTGGAACAGAATGGTTTTTTAAAAAATTCGACAATATATGTTTGTGCCCTGGTAAAAATTGAATTTCAACCCATTGAATAAACTGACATTTGTTTGGTAAGGCTATTAAATGTCACTGATCCCACAGAGGTAGATGGACTTAATACATGATCAGTCATGACCTAGCTGGATGACAGGATAGACTGGGAAGGATGATTGACCTACTCTTTTATTCCTCTGTTTTTTTCTTTGCCACCTTAGACCAGATTCAGACTGCGATGAAGTAAGTGTACTAACTCATTCTACAGCCCACTCACCAGCAAAATAGAAGTAATTAAAGATTTAAGAATAGTTAAGAAATAAATAGATTTCTAGGCACTAAAGGTATCAAGGAGTAGGAGGAGGAGGAGGAGGAGGGAACAGACATATGATCATTTTGAATGGAGGAGCAGGTTCAATGGGCAAATGGCCTACTATTTTGTTTAGTTTGATTTTTCTTCTGCCATTATTGATCTATGATTGTGATCCCATGGTTATTATATGTGCATATGAACCCTACGCATTGACAGTTAATTTCATTTTCAATCAAGCATATAATAGTTTTTTTTGTTTGCAGCTGAATATCAAAGTAATTGCGACATGCTTGTTTTTTTAGCAATCTTTAGCCTTGATAGACAAAAATTACAGTTGATTCTTAATTATAGATCCTTAATTTATGTCTCAACAGCTTCAAGCACACACATGTTGATAAGCCCGACTGCTCAGGACCACCTTTGGGTATCCCTAATGTATTTCAAGAGAAAATTAGTATTGCCTATACCTACACTGTTAAATATGCTGTGAGTAATGTCTTTTACACTTGTATTGTGAATCAAGGTGAAGGGCCAAGATCCACAATATGAGATATCTTTTGAGATCAAAAAATTAAGAAATCAGCATAAATGTGATTATACTTCACTTGAATTTTAAAATCTTGTAGCTTGCAGAATGAGGATCCAAGGGAGTTAGAGCTCCACTGTTAAAGCCTCAACAAAAGTATAAGTTATGATGGAAAGGTATAAGTTCTGAGCAAATAACAGTGCATAGCAACATATATCTGGTTTTAACGCACAGGGACAGTTCAGAAAAACATATAAAACCATAAGGTTAGCAGTAGAAAAAGGGGTGAGGAATTGTGCAAGAGGAATTCTCCCATTGCATTGCAAAAGGAATGCAATTCTACACATGGAGGATGAGCAAGATCATAGATGGGTTAGAGGAGGAGATTACTAATGTGCAGAAAGTTGAATAGAGATTGACCTCTGGCTCGAGAAAGAGAGAAACAGTGACCAAGCCAGCAGAAAGGGAGGAAGTTCAATGAAATTGGACACCCATAATTTTTGCAGGAGATTATATGAGAAAACTTAAGAAGTATAAAAATATTCAAACCTTCTAAGAGGTCTTGAAGAGACCTCGGAGAAGTGATTAAAATAGCATTATACAGTGGTAGGTTTATGGAGCAAAATTATATTGATGATTGGTATTTTTTAAAATAATTTTTGTTTCTCAAGAATGAAATCCCCTGTTGCTACCTCCTTGCTTGTGCACAAACCCATGAATGAAGTGTAGCAATAGAGTGCATTGCTTTCCTGCAATAGAGCTCAGCTTGCAAATTTGGAATGTCTTTGTAACAGATGATAATATAAAATGTTTTGTTTAATAGGTTAGAGATTTTTTGGCTTGTGACAAGCTAGGGAGAAAAAGATGCCCAAAAAGTATTGGAGATGCAATCTTAATGTCTAACCCAACAGATTGCCGTTCCAGTTGTAGTACTATGATGACAGTGTTCCCTTGTATATTATATATCTGACCCAAAAACACTGACTGGATGTGATGATGACTTTGGGCAAGTCAGGAGAATGTCATCACTAGTCCAAAATTACTTTCTTACTCCATCTGACGCATTTCAATATGAGGATACACGATTATGAATCTCATTCCCTGGTTTATCAGTACACATGTAAAAATTAGACACCAAAACCAACTGGCAAGTGTTAATTTTGAAATAATTTCTGGTCTTTATTTATTCTACCTTGATAAAGGAAAATGCTCAAAATCTTCTGGGGATAATGTATGAAATAGAAAATATGTAGGCATTATTCATTAAGGGTTACTTACATTGCTTTTGTCCTCCGCCATTAGCTTCAGCTACTATGGAGACTAAGTCATAGATCTTCCATGCCATACCTCATTTCCATGCTCTGTACAGGGGTTGAGCAACTGCTGATTTTTTTTTTTAATGTGGTACCTGCTGAGAATTTTTCTAGTGAATATTGAATTTAAATAAACACCATGACCAAAGGAAAAGAATATAACTGAAGTTTTCAAATTGTCTGGTGATTTATATGATGCAAGTTATATTATTTATACTCATAATATAGATATAATTTTTGGAGGTTTAGTTTTAAACTATTGGTATATTTTCTGAAGAAGAGTGCCGACCCAAAACAATAACTTTCCTGCTCCTCTGATGCTGCCTGGCCTGCAGTGTTCCTCCAGATCCACGCTGTGCTATCTCTGTCTCCAGCATCGACAGTTCTTACTAACTTTGGTATATTAATTTGGTCAGTTTGTGTGAAGGGATTTCATAACTAACTAGCTCAGAACCATGATTTTCAACCAGTATGGATGTCAGAGCCGATCATAGAGGATAGAATGCCTACAGTGTGGAAGCGGGTCATTTGGTCCATCGAGTCTATACTGACCCACCCAGACCCACTCTCCCTGCGCTATATGTGTAGGTGTCATGAAATGTTTGTTTATATTGTGTTTTATGCCAGGATCAAAAACATTCAGCCATTAGCTTAGTAAAAGCTAGGATGAGGAAAAACTTTTAAAAATGAAATGTAAACACTTTTGAATTCAGTTTGAAGAAAAGTGACCTCAGTGAAAGACTAGTTTTGAAAACTTCCAGACCAATAGTGTTTGGTTAGAAAGCATATTTCAAACTAGAAATAACAAAAGGGTGGTTCAGCGAAACCATCTAATCACAAGATTAGTAGAGGAAAGAGAGGCAAGGAATTATCCAAAAGAGATCCTCCCATTGGTTGTTCAAAGCTAAAAAATGTCAAAGATCTCAGTTGTGTTGAGTCAGAGAAAAAGACTTTGCACTCACAGGACCAGAACTAAAAAGAAGCAGGTAAGTCAACCTACAGATGTGATGGGAAAGGAAAATTTCTCTGATTAACTGTGAGGTGATGGTGTTGGAGAGTAATGGGATTTTGTTTTGTTGGGTGTTTTACATCTTTTAAACTGTTTATATTTTTGGTTTTTTTAATTTCTTTTTTCCTTTTTGCATAATAAAGTTCTACTTTATTGTTAAAACCAAATCTGCAGCCCTATGTGCTTATGTTTCAGTGAAAGACTGCCATGTTAAATCGGAAAATGAACAAAATTTGATCTATCAAGCAGATTTTAATCTGGGATCTGACGTCCCATAGGAACATCAGCTGAGATGATAACATTTGTTTCCCTCCAATTCTACTTTCCCCTTTAGGAGACGTTCCTAACCACTGTTCAAAAAGTGTTATAGAGAGCACGGAACTGACGTGTTAGCATGGCTTTAAGCAATATTTTACAAAAGAATTGTGAAATTCTGTCATTGCAAATGTTTTGGAAAAATAATTGGTTTCCTTATCATTTTACTGTTTGCAACTCTTTTCCAGAAATATCAATACAGATCCTGACAACATGTAACACTTTTTCTATTTGTAGACATCAAATATTAAATGGGCATCAAGATGGGATTACATTTTGGAATCTATGCCTCACACCAACATTCAGTGGTTTAGGTAAGGAATCGTATTTCCTTGCTTTGAAAGGTGTACAGAAGGCTAACCATGTTTAATTGCTACAAAACTACATGAGTGTAGTTGAAACCTGCATAATGAAAACAAACTACCTCTAATATCTGAAAGATTATCGGGTCATTGTGCTTGACATAAGCTTTGCATGCTGAGTGTGCTTGTGATTATGTTCAGAATCATTATTAATTTTTGTGTGTGACTTGAGTGATGCCACACTTCAGGCCACATGTTTCATTGAAGGACTTAGTTACAGTCTTTAGAGTGTGCAGTGCGGTACGACTGGTACAAGCACAGGTGGGGACAATTAGGCAGTTGTCTGCCGTGTTTCGATTTACTGTATTTGAGATTTAAATATGGGAAAACACAAGTTCTGCATTTTGTAGCTCTTGGATCTGATGTGTTTTTCAAACATTGTCTGGGGGTTTTGAGTTCTTTTAATATCTAAATAATATTTAGAAGGGTTCTATGTTTGTTTTTTAGGTGGAGTTCCATGTGGTGTTAGAAATACATGTTTCACGGATTTGAGATATTCACAATTTCTTCTTTTATTGGGATGTTGATACCCTTTCACATTCTCTTTGATATGAGATCTTTTAGTTTTCCACAATATTAACCAGCATGTCAAATAGGTTGAATGTGTGGATGCCAAAGAATATATTTATCCTGAAACAGCTACCTGAGTGAAGGGCTGGCTAAAGTTTTCAGCTTGCATACCCGTGATACTGCAAAACTACTTCAATAAAAATCCAGGTCGGTTTTGAAAGAAAATGTTCGTTAGCATGCACCTGAAACTAAACTTCAAATTTGCAGTGCAGAATCATCTAGTATCCATCTGTTATGGCTCAACAATATTGATTAAAACATATCAAAAGTTATGACTTGCATTTCATATACCATTAGTTTGTTTCATTTTTATAACTGAAACAAGCACAATGCCCCAAAGTCCAGTGAATGTCATGATGTGCAGTGAGGCTATTGTTTGCTGCAATTCTGAGCCTTTCTCATAGCCTCCCACTCAATGGATGTTGCCAATGAGATTGGATCATAACAGTTTTATGCAGTTGAGTGCTCAAAACTTAACATTTCTGTCTACATACCTTTAGTGCTTTGTTTTTCCAGCAAATAGACATGTTAATTTTGTGCACCAGTGTAAATTAGATGTTGCAGCTAATATGGTGTAGTTCACTAATTCCGCAGTTGATTTACTGTCATAACGAGAATGCTAATTTTTGACACTTCCCTTTTCCCTTTCGCCTCTGCTTCCTTAAATACAATATTCCTTGATGGTATATAGTTCTACTTTTGCAGGTTGTGTCATGAATGGTATTCCGAAAAGCTTTAAGTAATCAAGGGGAGGAAATATGTATCATAACTATCACGAGAGAAAAAGTACATAAAAACAGAAATTGCTGGTGAACCTCAACAGGTCTGGCAGCATCTGTGGGGAGAAAGCAGAGTTAACATTTTGAGTCCAAAGAAGTACTAGGAAACTAATAAGGCTAAAGGCCCTCAATCTCATGGTTGCATGCTAGGATACTTTTGGAAGTAGTTATAGAGCCAATGGATGAAATGATATCAATCTTCCAAGAATTTTTAGATTCTGAATAAATCCCAGAGGATTGAAAAACTAACAATGTAATATCCTAATTCAAAAAGGAGGGAGACATAAAAGACATGTAACTTTAGCTTATGAGATAACAAGGTGTAGAGCTGGATAAACACAGCAGGCCAAGCAGCATCCGAGGAGCAGGAAAGCTGACGTTTCGGGCCTAGACCCTTCTTCCAGCTCTACACCTTGTTATCTCAGATTCTCCATCTGCAGTTCCTACTATCTCTGAAATAACTTTAGCTTAACATGTGTCATTGGGGAATACTAAGGTTTTGGAGTAGGTTTGTAGCTCGGGTTGTGGGTGTTGTGGTTGGTTGGCTTGGCGAGCTGGTTTGTTGTTCCGCAGACGTTTCATTACC